CTGCTTAATATCTGCACTCACCCTTCACTTTCTCTCAACCCCACAAAACCTCAACCCTTCCTCCTCACTCCCTCCCTGTGGATGTTGTTCTCCTTGGACCCAGCTGCTTGTTTGAGCAGCCTGTTATATGGTTTAAAAAGGTTGGATAGAGGTTGAATCTGAGCTCAGGCAATATCAAGAGGGCTTCACACACACACACACACACACACACACACACACACACACACACACACACACACACACACACACACACACTCAAACATTTCTGTGAAAATGTAATCTCTGGTTAATAACCATAATAACCAAATTCAGAATGTCAACTCCATATCCGTTATTTCTGTTCCACTAACAATAAAAAAGCCAATAAAAAGATATAATTGCAACCAACTTGTTGAAAATGTCATATACTGTACTGTGTAACATTCTTCTCTGTCGATAATAGAAATACTTTTCAGTAGTTAATTGAAACTGAATTGATTTATTGAACAAAGACTTTATTATCCCTGGGGGGCCCAGAGAGTGGAATAACTGATTAGTGAAGTGATTAGTAAAGTCATCATGACTCGGCACATGCAGGGTGCAGCTAGAGATAATTCATTCACTGAACACAGCTAACAGACACACTGACTGCAGGGAAGTCCGTGTGACTCCACCGTGTTGTCAAGAAGACACATGCTATCACCAATCACGCTACAGTATAATTGGTTGTTAAAACAGGCTGCTTGTGTGTGTTTGCACAGGTTTGCATGCACAAACCCATTTTAATTGGCTGAAAGAAGCAGTGCATAAGTCTGGATCAGCATTTCCTGAAACATCAGTACTTATATGTGAACTTTTTTTCCTTAACACAATATCTGCCACAAGCAGTCCAGGTCCATTCCTACTCTGGGGGGGCTTTCTGCAATGATGCAGTGATACTGAGAGTTGAATTCTTAAATTGTTTTCCCCAGAAAACCCTGCAGTCCTGCAGTTTGGAAAAGATAGCAGGAGGACTGAGCATTGGCTGTGTGTTGCCACTCTGGTACTTTTGCAGGAGAGATCAGCATGTACAAGAGTCTAGTTCCCTCTTTTACTTTCTCAACTTTTATATCACCCTTATCACCGTATCCTTAGTTTTAGGGTTCATTCTAATGCAATTACATAAAATAAGTTTCCCTGCTGAAGAAATGGACAACAAAATCCATGAGTAACTTTGTCATTGCTTTTGTCCTCTGTCCTGTCCTTGCACTTTTTTCATTACACCAGTCAATATTATTTTCACTTTGTTAATACTATCCTCTCTGCAGCTGAGGTAGAAAGTCGTTTCCAAACATCAATATTGTATTAAATGAGAGTTTCAATTTCCTTTCTGTTATCATGGCAGCATTCGTCAGCCCAGCTTTTTGTCATAAGAAATGTACAGCAGACACAATGGTATGAGCAAATGTAAAATATGATGAAACTGCATGTGAAATACTTGCAGAATATCCTAAAAAGAGGGCTTGGAGTGGGCTGTTCCATGGTGACTGTTCTCGCTAACAGGCTGGCCTCAGAAGTTATTACCAAAACGATGATGTATGAATGGAGGCTGACAGGAAAATCAGAGTACCTGTAACACTTCACACAGGCTTATTACTCTCAATTTAAGTTGACACTATGTCAGAAAAAAATACTTATCATATATCATATAAAAGACTGCAAATAAATAGTAGAAGAAAATCTATTTGTGCCATGTTACACTATCTAGTGTTCATATTGTTTTGTAAATCACCTGTGCATGAGCTGAAAGAGAAGACAAAACAGTATAGATATTACATTAGAGATGAAAGCATTTGGTATTGTTGAGAAGAAATCAATAGAGATTTAGGAGGCAGTACAGTAGACACTGTTTGCACCAGAATGTATCTGGTTTATGAGACTCTATCTTGTTTCCTCGTGAGTGTGTGTGTATCGGCTCTACAAACTGTTCAGAATCTGCAAGCTTAACTCATCAACACCTAGCAAAGCACTGTTTTGACTTTCTTTTTTAACTGGTAATAAAATGGGTCATCCCAGTATAGTAGTAGGGAAAAGACTCCTGTCCTTAAAAAGTGGCCCAACATAACAAAATGAGTCAGGGGAATAGAAAAATCATGAAATTGATGAACAAAAATAAACGTTTACTCTACAACTATAAAGTCGTCAGGACTGAAGACCAAAATGAAAAAAGGATGAAAAGCCAACAAACCAACTAACAAAGAGTTGTAAGATCTGGCTTCTTCATTCTGACCCAAAACCACAACAATCACATGACAAAGGTAAAACCCTGGAAACATATCACACTAAACAAACACAGCAAAATAATTACAATGCTCACAATGCCGCCACTGATGTGTCTGCCAAGGCTGGATGGAGAAGAAGAGATAAAGCTGAAACTATTTGTATTATTTATTTTCACTTTTGATTGTTGTTGTTTTTTTTTTGGACTATTGGAAAAAAAAAATGTCAAGAATCATGCATCTTTTTTGGGGAATGAAAAGGTGAGGTCAAGGCATTGGTGCCTTCCTCAAAGCTATATGCCTTTTTAAGAAGGGGCCTATTACAGCTATTTTCATCATACTTTTTTTCTATAAGTCACACTGTGGTCGGCTTTTGTGCGTGTCATGTCTGAATAAAGCTGAACAAGTGTAACCAGCTCAGTACTGTGCCAAAATAATAACAGTGAATCATCTGCTCACTGTGTAGGCAGACAAGCTGAAAAATCCTCAAAAAGTTAAGAGGTCAGTTAAACTGAGACACCCGAGAGAAATAGTTCTTCTAAATGTGTGCCATATATCTTGCTGCAAGGCACAGGATTCATGACTGAAGAGTCAGGTTCAAAAGACTCAAACAAAGCTGAAAGCATACAGAATAGATAACACCTTTTTCCCTTTAACTTCATAGTTTCCTGTTTGTTTTTTTTGCATTATAGTTGGGCCCATGGGAGTTTTGTAATGTCTCTTTAGACCTCTTGGTAAGGTGTTTAGCATACAGTACAGGGCAGGAATATCCCCATAAATAGGAAATTATGAAGGTAAAAAAATGTGGAAAAAAAAAAAGATTCAAGAGAGATAATATTGAACCAGGTCTAACAAGGACTTCCTGACAACATTTTAGCTCTGTTTTTATAAATGTGAAAGACTCACCATGTTGTTCTGCCTGGAGAGAGAATTAAGGCCCCTTTTTAGTCAGAAATTCTCTACAAGGTTATCAGATTGACTCTTGTGTGTGGCAACTTAAGGGCAGCAGCTGCCAGTACAAAAAGAGCTATTTGTGGTTTGCAGGGATTTAATTTCCATCAAACAGAAAACTAATTTGGACACAAAAAGCAGTGGCCTTGACATTAGAGCCCTGCAGGGTGTTCATCCCATGCTGAGCCTTCAGCTCGCACATAAAGCTATGGTTTTCTGCAACTGGAAAACCTTTGATGTGAAACAATTACTCCATGCTGGAGACAACTTTAAGAGCTGATGGAAACAATACACACAACCAGACAATAATTACACATACACAGTCTTTTGTTCAAACTGTGCATTAAAATAATGGACAAACACCATGCATATACTTTAAAAGGGCAATCAGTAATATATTTCATGTAAGTGTAGTTGAATACCTTTTTGAGGTTTCCATGGTTACTGCTGTTAACAATGTCCAAAAGCAACTGTTCCATCCAGCGGTTAGCATTATTTGGACTGCACCCTTCTGCTGAATGAACTTTGCTTACAGTTCTGCTGTCGATGCATGTTGAGAACAGCTTTCTGTTCATTATTAAGTAAAGATGATATATTTATGCACCAACAGATCCAATTTATCCTCAGGCTGTCATCTGTAAGTTGAACCCAAAGGACTTGATGATATCGCAGTGTGTGGAGCAGATGGCTAGGTGGTGTTTCATTGTCTCTGTCTGCGAGGAACACCACTTGTTTTATGGCAGTCGAGCAGTGGAGGTCAACAGAGTCAGAGAAAAAAATGTCTGTTCATTTTGGTGTGAAATCGTGGGCACTGGGGCACAGAGTTAGAGAGACAGAGAGCAGACACTACCGAGATGAAACAAGAACTAGCACTAGCACTGACTTAAGATAAAGCATCAGTTCCCAAATTCATCGGGAGATATTTGTTTATTGGAATCAAAACTCTGATGGTTTCATCGCTAATCATTGCAGTTTTATAGATTTTGAAATATTTTCTCTATAAATTGATATTATATTGACAAAACAACACTAAGAAATCATGGATGTCTCTTTTCTTGGACTATAATCCATTTTCAAAGCAATTCCTTTTGCTTTAAATGATGAAAAAACAATTTAGTGACATTGTCCTTGGTTCTTTCTGCCAATTTCCTACCCCTCTAAAACACTGACTGCCTCATATCTTGTAAGGCAGCCCAGATTTTCCTGCAACTCCCAGAAGACACTTAAACCACTCAGCCTTTAAAGGTTTTCAGCTGACATTTGTACAATATAAAAAGGTATTTCTTCCTCTCTCTCTCACTCTCGCTCTCTCTCTCTCACTGTCTGCCTGGTAGAACAACACTTTTAGATAGATAGCTGAATGTGGTTTAACATCATCATCAGAATGGGGAAGCGTTTTCTGACACAACAAAGCTACATGAAGAGAACGTGTTGATGATGTAGTGTCTCCTCTTAGCCTTTTTTGTCTTGCTTCTCTGCAGAGTTTGCACAGTCTGCACAGTCATCATTACACACACAGACATAAGCATTCAAGGAGAGGAGATACAAGCTCTTCCAAATATGAAAGACCAACAAACACAAAAAGTCATGAGTGAAAACAGAAGGTGCTAACAGGACGGACTCAAGGTGAGCTGGAGTCCTGGACAGAACAGATATTTATCTTAGGAACTTGACAACCTTCCTCATCTCAATCCCGGGCGTTAGTAGTGTTAACACCAGCAAGTCAATCACACACACAGACAGAGAAAGACACTGACGGAAAGCGCTGAAATGTTTTCTAATGATGATGTGTTTCTCTCTTTTCTCCCTCAGGTACGTGGGTGACATTTGGGGGACAGGTAACAGATGAGGTGCGTAACATTTTCTTTTTTCTAACATGTTCATTAAATCTAAATGGACTAATCTTAAAGACAAATTGATTTTTGTTCTACAATATTTGTGATATTGATAAAAAACTGAACATGTTCCATATAAAGCTATCTATCTGTCATAAGTATAAGCCAGTTATATTGACTTGTTTGTACCTTCTTGCAGAAATTACTTTGAATACTTGAGACATACTGCATATGTTGACTCTTACTAGAAATGTTTTACACCATAGCTGTTAGACTTCACATAGCCTTTACTTTATTTGGGGGTAAATTGTGGTATCTGTCCCAACAGTCAGTGATGTGTTTTAAATGGTTGTTCAGACAGATAACATTTTATGTTTTATAGAACAGAGGAAGCACACACTATGATTCAACACATATGTACACATACTTAAATCACATTGATGAACTCCATGCTCTGATGTAGCTGCTAGGTATTGGCATTGGCCATCACTTGTGTATACTCTTAAAGGGACACTTAAAGAGAAGAGAACTGAGCTCACCCCAGGGGACACAGAACAGGAAGGTTGTATAACAGTATTATTTTTCTATCTATGAGGCCATCATCTCACATGGAATGGTCAAAGCTCAGAGCCTCTTTTCCTTACATTAGTCTAAAGGTCAACAGGTCAATGTCACTGGTATAACTCAGTCCAACGGGCGTTGGCACAGGCAGCTGAGATTCATACCAGAGAGGCTGTTTGGCTAACATTCAAACTGTTTCAAAGATGCCACTGGTCTATGAAGATATTGTTTAGCTCCCTGTAGACAAACAAACGTAGATCATTGCCATTGAAAAATTATAAAAAGAAGTCCTTGCTGCAGACAAAGGTCTTAGTTGACATGCAAACTTACGTGATTCCACAACAGCTTCATTGCTGCCACCATATGCGATGCTGTCGGGTTCAAGTGTCCTCTACTGTCTTGAATGCCCCATGTTCAATGTCACTGTCATGAGAACATCCCTAAATTCACTACATGTCCCAAGCAGAGTTCAGGGTCTGTGTCCTTATTAAGAAAAAGGCACCAGCTTTAGAAAAAAGACCCACATAGTACTACATAACATCTTATTGACGGCTACATTTACTCAGAAATCTCCTGAATCAGTTCAGATAAGGCATTTTTACATATATATATATATATATATATATATATATATATATATATATATATATGTACACATTTAAATAAACTGAATTATTTGGACAGTAATACGCAAGCTGGTAGAAGTGAAAATGGACATACTTTTTTAAGATAAATGGTAAATGGATTTGAGCTTGTATAGCGCTTTTACACCTCATGTCACACCTACCCAGTCACACTCATTCACACACTGATGGCAGAAGTTTCTATGTTAAGTGACCACCAGAAGTAACTAATCCCATGCATACACATTTATACGACACTGACGAAGCGGAGGGAGCAATTCGAGATTCATTTTCTTGCCCAAGGACACATCGGACATGTGGCTGTAGCAGCTGGAGATCGAACCTCCAACCTTCTGGTTGCGAGACGACCAACCCTAACTAACATTAGGAGATTAACCAAATGTATGTATTTATATAAAATACCCCAAATTCAGAACTTCTCCTTGAACATGCACACTGTGATGGGTTTTACTTTATGATACGCTTGCTGCTCATCGTTACAAGCTAATAAGCCAATTGTGGACAAGTATGACTTATACTATGTCTTCTACTTATGTCTTGTCTGGTCAGTAACACATTCCCAGACAAAGAGCTCGGAAAAGTGATGGTGGGATGCAAGTTAACATTGCTTACTCATTCAAAAAGGCCAAAGTGGATCCATAAATCATAAAGTAAATTTGAAGAAAGAGTCTCTTGTTGGTGTTCACTTTGATGCAGGGAGTGTGGAGGGGTGAATGCAGTACAGCCATAAAATCATCTAAAGGCTGTGTGGGTAGAGTGTGGGAGGCTACCACGGCCTTGATTCTGGGGTTGAGAGAGAGACGCTGTTTTTTTTATCATTACGTCTGTTCTATGTATGGATATCCTGCTCTGAGGCACCTTTTGTGCTCCAGGAAAAAAAGATGCCTCAGGCTTAGCCATCCCTGTATTTCTGCAACTTTATAATGACTCAGTGGTTTTTTGATGGCGAGGGTAACAGACTGTTCTCTGCTTACAACATTTTTGCAAGTTTGAAGTCCATTAGCCACCCTCAGTTCATCCAAAACTACCAGATATCTATGTAAGCAGTGATGCTTCATCATCAAAACAAACACTCCGACTTGTGAATGTCACAGTGAGGCCTCCATAAGAGTGACTGACCTTTTAGTATCTTAGAAGACTAATTGTGAATAACAAATGACTTGATGGCCCTTGACTTGGCTTTCTATCTCTGTCTCTTCATCATATGCCTGAAGCTGTTAGAATATTCTTTAACATACCTTATTCGCCAAACATGATTTCATTATTTTGTATTTTCTTAAACTCTCACTGATCATCCATCCGATATACTCACATCTTTTAAATCCATATCCCACTTTTTTTTATCCAGCATCTTTTTCTGACCTTTGTCTTCTGTGCCAAACAGTTGTTACTGAGATAGTTTCCCAGCTGCGCTCTGCAGAGACCACTGAGAGGAAGACTCATTGAACTGCTTTGAAATAATTGAACTTTTCAAGTTATTGGCCAGGTTTGACTGTCTCTTTTTCGATGTCTTTATAAAGTGAATGTTTCCTGTTTCACTTAAATTTCCTTAGTATAACTCATTTTGTCATAAATCATAAATGATCTACATCAAATTGATATGAATGATATTTCATTTCATACACAAGCTTTAATGACCATTCTAGATTTGGCTCAAAGATATGTTGTCAATTTGGAGCCATATTGGGATATTTGAATCATTTTTTGACAGCAATTTCTATTGTTTCGTTATCATTGCATTCCTTTTTCTTTTAATCTTTTATTGTCTGTTTATTCTTTTCTCTTTTGTTCTGTCTAGAGTGTCTTTCATGACAGTTTTTCTCCTCTTTAGTTTTGTGACATGTAGTTTTACCATCTTGCTTTATTTATTTCTAAGTTGTACTCAAAAAGTGTATGCATTATTTGGTGAACTTTATTGTTATCATATCATTATATCACAAAGGTTTGGAGTGCCGCCGGTGTGTGCTTGTTTTAGAGAGATGTTGAGACAGAATCTGAGAGGATGGATCATCTTATTCTTCTGGAAACTATTCCTCTGCTGTCTTCCACCACTGAAACAGCAACACACAACCACACACACACACTCCTACATACGTATGTCAGACAGACAGGCAGACAGACAGACAGATATCATGCACAAATGTAAACACAAACACACATGCGCTTTGTGCACAAACACACCCCTTTGTCCTTGCACATTCACAAACCAATTCAACTCCACGGGGAAATGATGGCAAATTCACTTTAAGTCCCCTCCTAATAAAACTCACCGTGGGACAATTGCATCGCGGCCTGATGATTTATGGTCACTGTGTATGAAAAAAACATGGAGAAATATCAGCGCATATGCTTCACACTTTTATATAAAGCACTTATTAACTAAAGAGGAATGAGTTGACACTACCGTACACTATGGAGTCTGACGATTTATCATGGATAATTACACTTCTTCCTGAATAAAATCTGTGCTCCGACAGACTCAATGTACAAGCTCACACACTCTGTATGAGTGTGTGGGTTCAAGCAGATAACTTGAGTGCTCTGCTGCAGCATACTCACACAGGACATACTGCAGCATATAGTGTCCAACAGATCCTTTGCAACAGGGCACTGTTTTGAAGCATTTTGTGCTTGGCTAACTCTGCTGCAGTGCCGCTCATAAAGTGTTTCATAAGACCAAAATCTACTGCAGCATCCACCTGAGGGTTAAGTAATGATTGATCAGAGGCAGTAAGAATTGGAATTAAAAGTTTTTAGTGTTGTACTCAATTATGAAAATTATGAATGAATTATGAAAACTGACAGAAAGAGTTGTGTCATGAACATCTTGATGAATAATACAGAGGTTGTGTTCCTGTCTTCCATTCTTTTACTTCACCTCTTTTGTGGCTATTTTGAGGTTAAATTCTGCACTCCTGTTTTAGTCTTAGTATGTCTTATATTGAATTGACTACGACTTTGATTATCTCTTTTTAACATATTATGTCTCTGGCTTAATTGTGTCTTTAATTATATAGTGGTCAAATATGAAGCGCCACTTCTTTGATAAGATTTTGCCAAACCTTGGACACTAGCTCTGTGAATATGTAAAAATGTATATCGTAGTTACTGAGATGCTTTAATTTTACAGCTAAAGTAAAATATAGATGAATAAAAATTCTGCATTCTGACCTTTCCATGTCTTTGTTTATGTGTTTGTATGTGTGTGTGTGTGTGTGTGTGTGTGTGTGTGTGTGTGTGTGTGCACGCACATGTACCTGTGTTTGTTGTGTGTTTCCTGACATCGTGCCAGGTTGCAGAGCAGCTAATGACCATCGCCTATGAGAGTGGAGTCAACCTGTTTGACACAGCTGAGGTCTATGCAGGCGGCAGGTGGGTGTCATACGAACCTCTGAGCTCATTTTCAGTTCAGTTCAGCTCAATAACTTGGTCTGCTCTCTCTGTGGAAACCTTTTTTATTATCCATGTTTGGTGGGATGGTTTTGAAATGAAAGTCCGATTTGGTCAACTTCCTTTGTAAAATAATCAACAACCAGCATTGTCTGGAGTGCCATGCAGTTGATGTTTATTCATGCTCTTACAAAAGGTTTCCACTCATTTTACAATAGATAGGTTAATTGAGCCAATAGGGCAACACTGTACTGCTGTTAATGCTGTGAGGCAGAAAATCTCGTAATTATAGCTCTTTGTGTAAAATGAACATTCATGCAGATTTTGGGGTCATGTTTTTATGTTTGGGATTTTTGCTGAGAAACAGGCACACAATTGTGATACAATCAGCAGAATCACACCTCAATTAACACTTCTCAGCCTGTCTATTCTGTATCAGGCAATTAGTCATAATATCTCAGCACTCAAAAAGTTTGAATGTAGGTTAAGTCACAACAGAGCAACAATAGCTTCAAAAACCTGTCCAGTGTCAGAGGATTTTGGTAGTTGCGCAATTTCAAAAATGTTTCCACCTTTTCTTTGTTTAGTTTACTGAAAATTAATTTATGAGGTTGATATTGTGAAGGGATTGTTTATGACGTTAAACTGCAAGTTAATAATGGCAGCTCATTTATTTTGCCTTGCAGGGCGGAAGTCATTCTAGGAAACATCATTAAGAAGAAATGCTGGAGGTAATGGTGACATAAATGTATCTGATTGCTTCATCACTTTCATGTGAGAGAGAAAGGAGGATGACGTGTGTGTGTGTGTGTGTGTGTGTGTGTGTGTGTGCTTGTGTGCGTGTGTGGGTGTGTGTGCGTGTGCGTGTGTGTGTGTGTGTGTGTGTGTGTGTGTGCTTGTGTCTGTGTGTGTGTGTCATTTATGAAAGAAAGACAATGAAATGGGAAATGAGAGGTTTTTTCCCTGTGCAATCACATGTGTCTGTGTTCCGTTGAAAGGGATATGTATCAGGTTGTTTGGGTTTCAATTTGTGTTTATTTAGAGTCATTTATATATAGCTGCACAAAGCTCCTACACACTCTCAATGCATCACATAACATCAGCTTGAAACAGTTACTATATGAACGTCAGCTTGCAGGCATTTTCTTTATTCACACATTTTCAAATATTCTCTTTATGAAGTTATTAAAACATTTTATATTATTGATTTACTCTTATGGAAAATCTAGGAGGAGAGAGTTACAGAGGCATCAAAGAAAACAACTAAGATCCTCTCTGTGTTATAATAACAGCAGCATCACCATAATTTATCCATTCAAAGAAGCTTTTCCCACTAGCTGTTCCATCATAATGCAGCTTAGGAACAGAACAGACCTGAAGGCTAGCTTAAACCTACCAAGACTTCGACAAACCACACACAAAGAAGCATCCTGATTTAATTACTTCTTAAGAACAGCTGGGGCTCAGGCAAAAGAAAACTCAGCACGTGCCGAAAAAATGCCTATTGTATCATGTTGTTGTAACAAAATAACCATGTTCGGCATCCAGCAGCATTCACAGATTATATGCAGTGATGTGTGCAATGAAAAGACCGAAAGAGGGAGTAAAAGATCCCTGATCAGTCATTTTGAGTGTCAAAAGAAAATGAAGATTAGGACCATTAAATATTACACACTCAATTATTATTTCTCATGATCAAATATTCATTGGATATTTGTCAATATGGGGAGGCAGTGGAACAATTATATAAGTTCTATTAAACAGACAAGGCATACATTATGATACCGCAGTACATGCCTCCCACCCCCCACTGACCACCCACAACACCAACCAAAGATATAAGGCAAGGACCTCAGTACCTACAAAAGAAACAGAAAACAAGGAAAATAAAAATGTTGATAAAATAATAAAAAGACAGAAAAAATGTTATAATAATACAATAAAAAAAAATGAAAAACTAGACCTCCCTGCCTCACTACAAACTCAATGATTTCAGCTGCTGACACTCTAACTTACAGTGACCTGGACCAGGGCCATATTTCGGCTCAATCATTTTCAATCAATCATTTTCTGAGCTACACTACACTAGTAGGCAGAATGATGCTGATGAAGTTAAGACACACTGAACTTGACATTTCCGCATCAATGTAAATAAAAGATTCAAAGTACAAGATAAGAACGGAAAGTACTCGGAGGTGATCCCTAATGATCTCTTTAACAATCGTTCAGAGTGTGTTGGTAATCATTCTGAGTAATGGGGCACAATACTCTCAATGCTGCTTGGGTTATTGTTGATTCAATGTGAAGTTCTTCCGTTGTCGCACTCTCATTGAATATCAAAATATCACATGTGACTCAAGGCTGCGGATGCTTGTCACTGTTGGACACTTCCACATTGAGTGAGCTGCTCAGTAACAGCCACTTGAAAAACACTCTGATATTCCTTTCATAAAATGATAAAGAAAAATCTTTCAAGGTTACTTTTTGTGGTGCTGAATAACATAAAGGGCTAACTGAGCAGCAGCCATGTAATGACCCAAAGCTCTTCACACCTTGTATCACAGAGTATTCAAAGAGTTTAAAGAATGAAGGACATCCACTAACATTTAAGAAAGAAAAATGTTGTTTTGAGCTGAACAACTAAACAGAAAGAGCAGGATCCTGACTGATAAACACGTACATGATGGAAACTAGACTTTGAAGAAATGACAGCTCTGATTGATCTGCAGAGATGTCGAAATAACATACACTGAGCAACTACAATGCATTATGTATCACTCACTCTGCTGCATCTCTGTCTTTTCTCTGCACTTTCTCAGACGATCCAGCTTGGTCATTACAACTAAACTCTACTGGGGAGGAAAGTAAGTACAAGAAACCCTCTAAACTGTCATTTGCATGCCTTGAGGCAACATGTGACGTGGTCAGCTTTGTTCATAGATGAAGAGCCTGTTGTCAGAGGAGAGAAGGGTTGTTTTATTAGCAAAGAGCGAAGAAAGATTGTTTTCTGTCACCTATAAACCACGGTTACTAATTCTCAAATCTAACAATAGTCAGTCATGGACCAACAAAATAAATTCATCCTATACAAATGGATTGTCCTTAATCACTGTCACATTCACCATTTATTCCTATAGCTCTATGTTTTCATTTTGCTCTCATATTCAAGCTTTCAAACTCTTCTTATTTACACGTTTTCATGGCCATTTTTCTCTGCACCAATCTGAGCAACACTGTGTCACAAACAGTGACAGCCAGTTGAACCAATTCCTTGACTGAATCACACTATTTACTATATATAAAGATAGACCTCCTCGTGTTGTACAAAAGGGTAGCCAAAATATTGCTGGTGTTTTTATTCACTGGTGAAGTCATTTGAAGCCACAGTTGTCACAGTATACTTGATAACACAGCTGCCATAAAGGGTTTGGCTGGTGGAGCCGGGGGTCTGGACGTCCTGCCCCCGCCTCTATACAATTACACTTTTAACTTACTGAGAAAAAGGGGATAGATCCCTCGGTTTGGCTCAGTACTGCAGAACAGCTTTTTGTGTTGTTTTGAAGCAGATGTTCAGGTTATGTAAAGTTGAACGTCTATTGTAGTTAGTTATGTCTCCTCTGAGGCGCGGTACTTACTAACACAGCTGCCGACTATATCACTACAACACCTTTTAGAGAAAAACAATCTATATCTATATTTTCAGACAATTTTAAACTTGGACATTATTAAGCATTAAACATTTATTTAACATTTTGATTTCTTTAGTTTGACCCAAGTCTCATCTGTTAGCATGGAGGAAGCAGCCAGTCACCAGGGGAAGATAAAGAAGTTTTGACTTCATTTTTGAGGAGCTGTCATGTCTTACTTTTTTCTATACAGTCTATAAGTCACACACCCACACACACACATACACACACGCACGTACGCATGCTCTCTCTCACACACACACACACACACACACACACACACACACACACACACAGTGGCGGCCCACCTGGGTCTAGTGATAAGAAAGAATTTATTCTCTCTGGTTCTGAGCATTCCTTCTTTCCTGAGTGGACGAGTCAGTCCTTTACCTCTCTCTCCTCCAGGGTTTGGAAATGAATAAGATGCTGAACAGTTGAAAGTGCTTTGACCCGTTTTTAATGAAACAGCCTAATATGCACATTCTCATGTTTTCCCAACTGGCCAGAGTCAAAAAGTGATTTCAAATTACTTCAGCCTCCCCGGACAACGATATGACTTACAGTTATGTCATATTATTGCCCACACAAACTTTATATTCACTCATTAAAATGGTAGGTTTCATTAAAAAAACTCCTCTTACAGCCATGTCTGGGGGATTACATAAACAAACTTAACATTAAGGAGATTGCATTTGTTTACATCAAATGCAGTTAGGTCTTTGAGGATCCAAAAGTGCCTTTAGTTGAGCATGTACTAATGAAGCGTTGGCAGTTTGCTGTGTAGCTCATTGTTGTGTTTTTGTTTTGTCCCATCAGAGCAGAGACAGAAAGAGGACTGTCAAGAAAACACATAATTGAAGGTACATGTAAACACATGACACACATAATGTTTTTCAATCACACAATACCTTTAATATTGTTTTCCCTTGCTCGATTGTAAAATGGGTCAACCTCACTTTCGTAACCCGTACATCTCTTTGTGTCTCTAAGGTCTAAAAGGCTCTCTACAAAGGATGCAGTTGGAGTATGTAGATGTCGTTTTTGCAAACCGTCCTGACAGCAATACTCCAATGGAGGGTGAGTCATCAGCATTTAGCTTTATACCTCAACAACTTATCAAATCAATTGTCATTTGTAAAAAAAAACCAAAAAAAACAAGAGTTAGAAAATAACTGATTAATAAACTTTAATATTTTTGCCTGAAACATGAAGTCTGAATTGTTCAAAAAGTGTCTACAACAGAGAATGCATTGTAGGATAGCTGTTGATGTCAGTGCAGATTTGTGTTCCTGTTTATCTTGTTCTCTTTGTTTTTCCTCCTGTCAGGCAGTCAAGCCAATGCATTAAAAATGGTGCATATTGACACGCTTATTAGTCATGCATTGGTTCCTCATTAGTCCCCAAAATGAATTGAGTTCTATTCCATTCTACAGGTTAGGTCAATTTACAGCGGGGGCTTTGTCAATACCTCATTAATTAGTGCTTACACCTGATCAATGAGGATAATAAATGTTTGATTAAATTTGCTTTGCTTGAAATTACTTTTCTTCTTCAGTGTTGCTTTTAAAATATGTGTATTGTGTTGGTGTGAGGGCAAGATCCTTAAAACAGCTTTGTTGATGAATATTGACACGTATGAATTTGTTGTTGTTGAAACTGTGTTGGAGAAAAATCATTTAAACTGATTGTTCACTTTTTAAGCTCTAACCTCCTTTACCTCTCCAGCAAACACATGTACTATTTTGCCATCATCTGCACTAACTGTTCATTTTAGTTAGTTTAAAATAGTTTCACTGCCCCTTTTCCCCCCTCACGTACTGTTATACTTGCTGGAAATTAAGGCTTCAAAGTAGCATTTAAATGTGAGCCCAGGGTGCATAATCACAGCATGTTGCTGGAGCTGGATGGCAGGAGGGCAGGAAAAAGGATGCAGTGGAAGACACTTTTAGGGGCTAACAAAGACACAGAAATGTTTATGTATGTTATTTCCCTTGGCAAGATGGTATTTAGTAAGGCATCTGTTTCAAATTAATTATCACTGACAAACTGAAGGGAAAGATCTTAATGCCTTCTGCTGGTCTCCTTCTAACGTCTCACACTCTCTTCTGGACCTCCACCTCCTTACCTCTCTTGTTCTGTTTTCTTGCCAAGAATATATTCAGGGGTCCTGCCACAGTGAGAGATTGCATTATAATTGAAGTGAGCTAAGGGAGATGATGAACAACCCTAATGAAAGTCCTAATCTGAGTTTTTGTTGGCCCTGACTGCTGTTGGCTAGCACACTGTTAGGTCTAAGTGATGTATTAAAAATGCAGCAGCTTGAATGTGATCAGAAAGGCAGGAGAACGTGAGCTTGTTGGTTTGTTTCGGGGGTTTCAGGAATGGGTGAGGAGATGCGGCAGGTAGGAGTCACTTGGGGGGAGGCGGGAGGCCTTGGCTGATTTAAAAAAAAAAGAAATGCATCAAAAAAATGGAACAAAAAAAAGTTATTTGTGTGCCCTCAAGGCCACAGCTTTTCTCAGGTTTAGCTTTTTTTCCATTTACTTTGACATTCTTGTTGATTTCCCCCCCCCCCTTCTGAATGACTTGGTACTGTTATCTTGTTGTTCCCATTCCAGTATTCCTTTCTGTTCAACTGCACTCTGGGTTTCATCCATCTCTCTCTCTCTCCTTGGCTTAATCTTTTCATGAGGCTCCGCTATTGCTTCAACCTTGTACGTGATGTTCTTTGTGTTCATCTTTTCTGTACTAAAAAATAACTTTTAAGTGCCAACACTGTTTAAATGCTCGAGTGAGTTAGGATTCATTTCGTGGTCTGTTCAAAACACTTGTTTGGTTTCTGACATCAAAGTACATCTCATGGCTTCAGTGATTGGATACTCTATTTTTAGTCGGACTGCCGACCCACGATGACATTTGTATCTTCTTAAAATGCTGTCGGACAAATTAGCTGAGCCAGCTAACCGCTATCTTGGCATGTGTGTATCTCTACAGAAATTGTTCGGGCCATGACCTATGTGATCAACCAGGGAATGGCTATGTACTGGGGGACGTCTCGGTGGACAGCCATGGAGATCATGGTAAGCAGCAAGAAGCTTTTGATCCAGTTTCTGTAATACAGACTTCATTTATTCTCATGATAATCATCTTTTTTAAGTCAAGATCCATAAAATAAAAATGACTGAAAATATTCAACTGAAACACTGAGTTGCTGATTCAACTCTACTGCAGTTAGTTTCTAAACAACTCCTACTGTTAAGGACCAGAAAGTGTTCATTTCAATTTTACATTACATTAACATGTAACACTTGCCTCAGCTCAGTAGTGAGGAATCCCTTAATTATATGAAGGCAATAAAGTTTCAGGAGAAAAGTTTCATGCTGCTTTGGCAGATGAGTTGTCATTTCCAACTTATTTCAATAACAGATGATAGTCACACTGTAACACTTTATTTGACCTAACTGATGAACCAATGATCCATAGAATGAACCCATCCATAAACTAATTGTGAAAAGCAGCACAGACTTCAATATATTAATTGATTTTAGCAGCGTTTTTCCTTCTAGCATCTTGCTCACATGCATGTGAAGGGGAAATAAAGGGGACAAGGGAGGAAAATAAAAACCTGGACTGTGTGAAAGCTTCAAGAAAAAAAAAAAACAGGTGTTTACAGGAAGTGTTCCCCCACAGAGGCACAGCAGCTTCCCCCGGCCTTGCTTCCTCTTCTTGTCAGAAACAATCTTCCTCCTGTTTCACATCCACTACAGTATTAAATGTACAGTGTGTGAAGCCACAGTGGAGTTATGTAAGGAACATATGCCTAAAGTGATATCAAGATCTAACACCCATTCTCTCATCTCTCACTCTGGTGTCTTTATCACTTTCCCTGCACCCTGTTAGCGCAGCGCGATGTGTTGACATCCTCTCTGTGTGATCACGAGGAAAGCAAGCAGATAGCTTTGTAGAACACAGGCCCAGATGAAAGCTAGTAATTTAGATAGCATCAATAATGAAGGGGGGTAAATACAGCTTCTCTGAGTACGTGACAAGGCAGCAGTACAGTACACACAGACACACACACACACACACACACACACACACACACACACGTAGGCACACACACACACGTAGGCAAAACACACACACACGTAGGCACACACAAACACACACACACACGTAGGCACACACAAACACACACATAGGCTCACAGGCAAATGAACACAGGCTCCAGGGTCGCAGCACAAAAGAGCAACATGTAATTTGTAAGTTGAGCGATGGCACTAACATTATCCCCATGTTATACGGATTAAATTACCCCCTCCAATTTCTCTCTCATCCTTACATGTGTTCACTCACTCGGCACTACAAACCCAACATGTTACAGAAGATGTGTGTTAGTGCATGTTTGACTTTCTTCTTCTTGAAGGACGTTCAGTAATCCAGATAACAAAGTGTATGATGAAATTAGAATATGATGCCCTGGAGGGTTTTGATATGGCATATTGATTAGGAGACTTACTTTGAGCCCTGCATTTGAATTTCTACCACAGCTCACACAAGCTGGTTAACACCCCCCCCCCCATCATCTCCTGTCTGAGTTGCTCCCATTGCTACATTCACTCCCTGTTTTCTGTTCTACCATCAGCTCTTCTCCTCTCTGTCACTTTTTTCACAGTAAAATGTGTAGTGTTGTAATTATTATTCCTTTTCGTCCTTTTTCTATGTTTTCTCCTTTTTTTCTATAGGAGGCTTATTCAGTGGCAAGACAGTTTAATCTCATCCCTCCAGTGTGTGAGCAGGCAGAGTATCATCTCTTCCAGAGAGAGAAAGTCGAAGTCCAACTGCCTGAACTCTACCACAAGATAGGCAAGTATTATGTGTATGAGTTGAGTTGTATTGTGGCAAATAAGTCAATGATCGATGACGACGTTTCTGCTCCCTGGAGAAATTAACATAAACATCCCATGGGGAGAACATTGTAGCACTAAGTGAGTCACACGAGTAAAATAACGGTATTCTTAACAGATACAAACTCTATTATTCCCTGTTGCTCATTTCCTCTGGGTTGAAGTCATAGGATGTATTTTCTTCTTCTCATAAATTTTCACTTTCTAAGCTCTGTTCTCGCACATTTTCTCACACGTCTTCAGCACATCTTGATGAAACTCCTCCATTTAACTCTTCATTGTCTCCATGGTGACAGGGGTTGGGGCGATGACGTGGTCACCGCTGGCGTGCGGAATCATCACGGGGAAATATGAAAATGGCATTCCTGAATCTTCCAGGGCCTCCATGAAGGTAGAAAAGCTTGCTTCATTTTTCTTAATTTCCAATTTCTTACAGGACTATGTGAATTAAATCAAAAGCTGTGATGTTTAATGTATTTACTTCAGTTAGTGTGGACATTAGGAAGGCATGTTTAAAAAAAAAAGGCTGAGGACAAGTTTCATAAAGAATCTTTGGTTCCCTGAAGCCTGTGTTCAATTCTTCGACCAGGTAAAAGTCTTTTTCTAAAGGTTTGATTTACCCAGACAGTATCAGAATAAACTGTTTTTTGTCGTCTAGTGGTTCCAAACATGGGGGTGGGAACCCCGTATGTGTCCTGTGATATAATGATCTCTTGAAAGGGCTCAAGATCACTGCAGACGTCTCCTTATCGTGTCAATTTAGCATGTAACTTGAGTCTTTAAAGTCTTAAACTATAATGTTTAATAATTATATTGGATGCAAGTGGTGTATTCATTCTTTATTTAAACTAAATTCTAAATTTAAAATCAGTTGTTTACATTTTTATAAGGAAAGTTACATTTATTTTCTTGTCATTGCAGTGCGGTAACCTAACCTTTCTTTCTTTGTACAAAACCAACACTTTAATTTCCTAAATAATCTTTACTTTGATAAAATACACGTCCAAGTCTGTGATTGTATATGACACAAGGCAATGCAAAAGTATGAGCTGTGAAACAAGCAGGAAAATACCCTGAACCTTCATAATTTAACTGTGACAAACAATTGATTCAATGTGGGGGACTTTCAAATCCTTTTGGACTGTTCATGGAAGTACACAGTGACAAATGTCCAACCAAAATCCCGTGCAAACATCTCCTATGCTTTAAAAACCTGAGGAAAGAATATGTGATTTATATCCTGATTAGAAATCTTCTTCAGCAATTGCACAAACTTTACTGCATCATACGGAGTTGTAACAGACAGAAAGATCAACCAGCCTAGAATTAACCTTTTTAAGAACCTTTGGAGTGTTCCTACTTTTTCAAACAATATATTCTCTGAAAGGATTATTATCCTTCAATCATCAACAAGGCAAGATTATTATTATTCAAGATAAATTTCATGTGTGGAAAGTAAGATCTTTTTATTAGAGGAGTTACACAACTCTCATAATTTAAAGGAGCAATATGTAACTCTGACAAAAAAATTGGTACTGCAGTCCAAATTTATAACGATGAAGAGAGCTGTGTCACCCACCCCCTGTGGAAGATGACACTGAAGCTTCAGTGTTTAACCACCTCTGCATCTTGAAACCTCTGTGTGTTCTGACCTCTCTCCTTTTTTTAAAAGCATCTCTTATACAGAACATCCTAGTTTTACCACGTTTCTGGTTGTGCAGCTTATTAGAAAAAAAATATTCCAACATGTTTCCCAAAAGTCTGATGATATAGTATAGGTAATTTTATGATAATTCAGTAGATATCTTATATATTGGTCCTTTAATATCAAATTGGAAGCTAAAGCCATGCAGAAAACTGATTAGCATAGTTTAGCATAAAGACTGATAACTCTATATGCAACATGCCTGAAGTGTTCACAGTCCATCACGACTCACAGCCTCAACCTCTTAACTGTCCTTGACTATTCTCTCATTCATTAGTTCACTTCTTTACCTCCTTCCTTTTTTTATCTTATTGAATACTTCCACACCTGCCCCTCTTTTATCCATCTCTACTTTTTGTTGATTCTTCTTCACATCTATTTTTCTCATAGCCTTCTATTCTCTAACTCATTCAATCTCCTTCTCCTCCTCTCTCCAAACAGTCGTATCAGTGGCTGAAGGAGAAGATAGTAAGTGAGGATGGGAGGAAGCAACAAGCCAAGCTGAAGGAGCTGCATCACATTGCAGAGAAGCTGGGCTGCACTCTACCTCAGCTGGCTGTGGGTAAGACATTTATCTTCTAAGAAGAAATTCTGTGAAAACAGCCTCAAACAGGGCTTTAGAAACATAACTGCTTCAAGCCAACAGACAGAAAGCTTGTTAATGCAAGACCAAACTCAGATTATCCCACACAATACCTGTGTTTGCTTTTGTTCATCTTGTTGGCTTAATTTCCCCTCCAGCTTTTTAAGATTACACACTTTGTCTCAGCGCAATATTTTTCGTTAAAGGATAAAATAACTGAGCTGCCTGGAAGGTACAAGTAAACTTGTGACTTTGTACCTTGGAAAAATGGCTGCCAGTAATGTAATGTTTATAATTAGTAGTAAATGGTCTCAAGAAAACTTATATTGACTGTTTATTTTGTGATAAATTCTTACATGGATTTACGAAGAGACAGTTTAGGATTAGACTTGACGCTGACTTTGTGGTCTGTTTGGTGAGAAGCAGTGCGCCATCAAGTGGGCACCAAGTGAACATCAACCTCTTGTTTTTCTTTCCAGCGTGGTGTCTAAGAAATGAAGGAGTGAGTTCAGTTCTTCTGGGGACGTCCAACCCTGAACAGCTCACAGAGAACCTCGGGGCTATACAGGTGGGAACATGCAGGAACACATACTGCTTTATTTACCTGCACACAAATTTACAGCATCCACATTCTTGATGAGTCTCTATACATCCAGGTTTCTTTACCTGTTTTGTCTCTACTTATCTTAGTGTTTCTTACTTTCTAGCTGCAGTGAATTTTCAATCTAGCGCTTTCTTTTTTTGACCAGGTTCTTCCGAAGATGACGTCTCATGTGGTGTCTGAAATAGACCACATCTTGGGTAACAGACCATACAGTAAGAAGGACTACCGCTCTTAGACCAGGTTGGTTGACGTGGAAGAAGTCAGCCTATCTGCTTACCCAGCTACTTAACCATACCGCTACCATGGACCTGTGGTCCAATGTTTAAACTTCATGGTTCTGTTGTTGGGCCCGACTCAGCTCCAGCCCATTTTAGCCTGGGTCAAATAGCCTTGCATACTGAAACCTCGTCTGCTATCTCAAGACTTCTCTCAATTCTTCAGCTCTACCAGGTTCATCTCAGGTTCAGTCCAGCCCAGCCAAGAGATGCTAGTCAAGTTCAGCTTTTTGCAGCCTCAAAACAACTTAAACTCAAACAAAAGTCCATTGCAGTAAATGAAAAGTACTGGTTCATCCAAATATAACTATGCAGCTCAGATCCAGAGCAGTCACCATGTAGAGTGCTACAGCTTAATTCAACTCCATCCAGGGGCCTCATTAAGAAATTTAAGGAATTCGATTCATAGTTTTTGATACAATTTAACGTAATTTTATATGCAGTTTAAGCAGTACAGTATGAAAAGCACTGTAGGTGTATTTAAGGAGTAAAAGTTCCTTGCTCAAGAGCACCTGCTAGTAGTTGACGAATGAGACAGTTTGATTTATTTATTCACATTTCCCATTCATATTCAGTGACTCAGACACCCAACTCTCAAGCCTCCATCTCTCATGTCTACACTTCCAATCATGAGTAATTTCATTCGAGCACAAAGTTCACACTGAGCACACACCATCTATCCATGAGATTTGCGGAACCACAGCAGACTAAATCAGTGGTTATCCCTCGGGTAAGATGTACCTTTGGAAAGGCGACATTTAGAAGCTTCAGTTTGATGAACATCCCCTGTCAGTCAGCCAGTGCTTTCATTAAAATTCGCTATGCAGTGCAGTTTACAAGATTACCAGATGAGCTCAATACTCTCACCTCTTCTGTCAGAGGACCATGCTCCGTGTTAGGCTGAGTAACGATAAGTTGACCTGCTCTATGCTGCGATGAATGAAGCCTCAAAAAGCCAGTTTCCTGTTAGCTTGAATTAGCTTCCAACTATCTACCAGACATAATCCCTCCTCTACTTAGTATAGCACAGAATAGTACTGAGTAGTTAATTTAGGCTGCAAATGCTGAGTGTATTAACCAATAGATGCATGTATACCCAGCTATAGTGTGCCTCTCTTTTCTTTTTTACAAAGCGCAAAAATAAGCAAATGAAAGAAGTTTGAACTAAATAACTGCAGGCTTGGCTGAAGAACATTAGTGTCAGTAGGATCAGCTCTCTCTGGGGAAAGAGTGAAGCATGTCGCCCCCATGTGCTGTATCTGAGGAACTGCTGCTGTGCTTCACTAGATTACACGAGAGGAATAACATGTTGAAGACTGCTTTTATTAAAGAGATGTTTGTCTCTTTTTCTGCCTGTGAACTGAACCTGCATGGCTCATTACCTCAATGAACCCTGCAGAAAAGGACTTCAGCGTATGATAAATAGAATGAACGACCTCATGGCTGCTCATGGTTAAAACTGCAGAATTTGCTTGTTAATGGCACAAAATTGGGATGTGGTATAGATGACAGTATTTATTTTAGAGTAGTTGATATGAAGTTTATTTTGACACTTAGAGATATTGTTTTTGTTTGAAAATATATTGGGATGGTACATGTACATACAATGTTAAAGCCTACCTTGTAACATAAACAAAACCATGAAGAAGCCTCTCTTGTACATGATGACTTCACTGTACTGTATGCCTAATATATAAATAAGATGTAAATAGAATTATTTTGTTGTTCCTCTGCAGACAGTCTTCATCCCATTCTTCTCTCGCCTGACTTCACATTGTCACAAGATGTTATTCTGGCTCCTGAAAGAAGGAAATGTGTTTGCAATGTGAAGTCAGACTACTTCATCTGTTTGAATAGTGGCATTCATTGTAATAACAGTCTTCTGTAAGTAACACTCTTTTGTTCATCTTTAAAACTGTCATGATACATTTTCTCCGACAAGGCATCTCAGCTGTATGAGATCATTGCTGTTACCTTCGTGTGTTGTTGTTCTTGTTCTTCTTTATCTGGAAAACAAGCCATCACAGAGATCAGCAGAAAGGATGGCCAAGGTCCAGTTTAGTCACTGTCCTGTCGTCAGGGTGTTTGTTGGCTTGTTGCACAAATGTCATCCAGGTTTTAGTCAATGTATTTCGACTTTTGCCAAGAAGAGAACAAATATTGCAATTTAGCATCACTAAAGAAAAGTTTGGCTCATGGTTCAGCCTTGAATAATGAATTGAGTTCCCTGGGAGTATTTACAGTACACTCACTTGACCTCCATTTAGTCATCGTTGAAATAAAAATCCATTCCTCAACAAAAAGATCTGAAAAATAGTACATTCATTAGACCATATGCGAACCGTATATCAAATGGTGGTTTGCAAACAAGCAAAGGACGTTTTCTTTACAGTACATTTTCCTTCCCAAACCAAATCATTTCCTTTACCGAAAGTCAACTACGGTGAATATGTACTTACATGTAGTGTTAGTTGGTGCACAAGTCAACATGTCCTCCATCATTTTGACTATACAGTGACTGTTTGGACCGTGGCCTGCCGGTGTGTGTGGAGACTGTTCCACTCGACAGAGTGCCTTGACTTGAGTCCCGTTACAGGAAAAAAAAATCAGGGATGTCTCTCATTCTTTCATGAGGAGTTGTTCAATTGTCTTTGGAAAACTGTTCTACATACAAAGTGAGAATAGAGCAAGTTGTATGCAGATTTTAAATTACCACATTGCCTACCTACAGTACATGTTATCTGTAACATCATCATTAAAAAATAAAACAAAGCCCTCACAGTACAGTTTGTGTAAAGTCACATTTGGGAAACTGATTGACCATTAAATAGTAAGTTTATCTACCGAATTCAAACCTGCAACTTGTCAGATGGCTTTGTTCTGTCTTGGCCTTTATTTGGACTATTTCTAAAAAATAACTACGTATGAGCCATCAGTTTTTCTTTACTGAGCCTTTACCAGCTCTGCAGTCTTTAAAACAAACTTGTTTTTTTCTTAAAGAGGTAAAACAATGTTTTCATGTAACCTAATACATTCATACAGTGTGAATTGTCAGAAAACTGGACGAAGTCAGTCCCAATGGTTCCAGAGAGTCATTACATTGTTTGAAAGTGAGTCCAGAGGACAGAATGGAGCACAGAAACAGACATAGGGAAATGTTCAATTCTCAACTGATTGGGATAACATTGCAGTAATAGAATATCCAACATTAACTTTAACTAAAGGTTTTGTGTTCTAGTGTGAAGTCAACCTACATCCTATCTGAATACATGTGTGTAACCTGTTCTACAGATCAGTGTTGTTTTAACATGTAGATGTAGAATCAAGGTGTTTTTGTTGAAGTGACATACAAATCATCTGTTTGATTTCTCTCCTGAACAATGTTTTCTCTGTACATAGACTATAAGAAAGTGTGACTACAAATAAATGCAATGCCAATGGAAACATCTGTTTCATTTCTTGTGTGTCACATGTTCTCTGCTAGTTTAAAGTAGTTAAACCTGATGGGAGTGTAAGAAAAATAATACACAGATTAATTTACTAAATGAAGTCTTGAGAGAGAGGGATCTGAAGCAGACATATCTGATCACACAGAGAACAAGGATACCTGGTTGCTTTTATTTGATAGAAAAAACAGAAGACAGACCTGGAGAAACACCCTCCAGACATTTGATTCATGAATTTCATGAAGCTAAAATGTAATTCAATCCCCCCCTTAAACCCCTTCCCTCACTCAAGTGAAAAACATTTTAGCATACACCAATCTTTGACCCACTCCCTCTATCTTTTCTTCCTCCTTTACTTGGAGCCGGTGGACAGCAGAGCAATGAGTCCTGAGGAGGCACTGATGGACAGAATGTAGTTCCTGGAAAGACGGAGTTAAGGACAAAACAAGCATCGGCAGGACACTAAATTACATGCTGTTAAATCTAACCTGCAGCATCTCCTCCCGGGGCATCACTTTAACGATGTAAAAATACAGATGCAATAATATTTGATTGTTATGTAAGGATACACGGTGGGGTTGAAGTTCTTGAGCAAGAAAAAGGAGGCGACGATGACGAGGACCAGGAAGAGAGTGTTGTTATAGAAAATGGAGAAGGTGGTGGCCTCGTAGTCTGCGACCTCATTCTTCTTCCACAGGATCCTAGGCAAAAAAAACATACCAAGAGAAAACATCGATCACTTTTTCTTTAATGTAAACATTTGAAAACATTTTGTTTCTTTGAGTCAATTTCCTTTGAATCTTCATTTTCATCTTTTAGGTAATGAAATGTTGATTTGCCCGTTAATGGTCCATGTTAACATTTTACAACATTACACAAACTGTTTCCTGATTGATGGGACTGAATAGTGACATTTTTTTTCCTGACAGTTTATCTTCCATTTCGACGCATATTTAGCAGATAAGATCCCAGTGGTATTCTCATCCCTGAGGTCGACATGGCAGTATCTGTTTTATGTTGTACCACCTTTTCATTTAAGTCCAGGTCACTGACATAACCACTGGCCCTCGTGTTTTTTGGATGTGTTTATGTTTTTCTATGGTAACGTAACCGTTATACCATACATGTTAATATATCATTTCTGCTGATCATCAGGGCGACACGCTGTATTGAGGCACAGCTTCACAGGACAATGTATGTCTCACCTTTCATCTTTCTCCTTGCGTGACATCTTGCGGTTGTCTGCCTCAGACAACTTCCGGGTTACCTCCTTGGAAACTGCATCCTCACGTTTCTGGGCCACTCTTGAGGATGAGGAGAGAAAGGTCAGAAAAAAAAACTAACAAAAAAAACTAATGATTTATACAAATAGGCCCATTCCTTTATTTTATGTTGTACCTTGTTTATAAGGTTAAATGCTGACAAATGTAATGCATAGGAGTTTGCCAAATAAACAATGTATTCAAAGTTCATTAGGTGAATCAAATAAAAAAGCATTACAGTAATTACTTATTACAAATGTTACAATACAATCTGAAAGTAATAATCAGAATGACTCAAAGAAAGGTGCAGTGTGTATGTGTATGTGTCCTTCTTACTTGTGTTTGAGAACAAACTTGACATTCTTGTAGGCAAAGGCCACCAGGTAGGTGCTGACGAGAGTCATCACACCGTACAATACTGCAGACTGGACGAGGTCCATGTGCCAAATCCTCCAGAAGAGCCCTAGAAAGACAAAATCAATGATCAAGTCAGGACACGAAGCATTGGTTATAAACATGCTGTTAACCAGGTGAACTCATGTAAAATGTCTGTTTTTAAGTTTCTTTCCATATTTATTAAATAGATACACAAACTTAAAGTTACTAAGCATCCTTTCACATCATTATCCTAACATGTAATAGTTCTTTAATCTACAGTAACATTAACACACTTTACATCAGAGCTAGCATTAGCAGTGATTCAATTGGAGCACAAATCAGGAATATTTGTTATACTCTGTTATTGTGCTGCAGAGTTTTCGGTCTATTAAAAGGTAATAGATAGGTAAGACACATCTTCATACCGACATAGTTTACACATTCTTTTTCTACATTACCCCTTCAGAGTATCTGAATTAGCTACCTAGCTACCTAGCTGCTGCAGTCTCTGTGGTACTCACAGATGGGGATGGCAGAAACGATGAGAGCATTTCCGTAAAACAAAGCGGTGGACTTTGCTGAAAGGTTTCTGCTGAAGTCCTGGAGGAGAAGGTCTTCTTCTGACTGCTGCTTGTTGCTGCCTTTAGGAGCCATGTCTGCGAAATGACCGGTCTGTGCGCTGCTCAGCTCTGGACACAAGAGGACTGACACGTCGGTGTACGAGGAGAAGAGGGACGCGTCAGCATAAACCCGGAAGTACGAGGACTGTCTTCTTCTTCGTTTAGACGATGCAGGAGACACCTCGGCGCTTTGCTGCCCTCTGTAGGAATACAAAGGCAGTGCATCTGTTAACATCTATGAACATTTCCTCGCTCTCTTCTGTTGGTTTGAACTGCTACATTTATTATTTATTTATTTATTTATTTTGAAATAAAGTTGAAATAACATCAGTTTATTTCTTGTCTTCTCTTATTTCATTTTTTAAATTGAGAAACAGATTTTTTCAATGAACTCAAGCTGAGAAAAAAAAAATATATATATATATTTGTATATTTGCCATTGCAAAGTAATTTTTTAATACTTTTTTCTGGAAATACAGGAATTCGCGTATACCTTCTGCTGTGTGTCCAATTTCTCATCTCCACCTTCCTCTTTGGAAACTCCATTTCAAAGATGTCAAAAACTGCACTTCTAACCATCCATTAAAATGCCGATAACAAAATAAACAGAAACTGATGATAGTGTTTTGTGATCAAGCGAAAGTGGTCAAAACCTTCTGAAGCTACTGCAGGATATTTGGGTGCTTGTGTACTTGCAGCATTCACATAATGCCCACTAGAGGTCAACATCCACATGTCTGAGCGTGTTAGTTGAGGCATTCAGCTGATGCACATTTCCTGAGAGACTGGCATTGAGTGCAACGTTAGCTCTGCAGGTCTTATATCACAAGGATTACAGAAAATCAAGGACAGTAAGGTCATGTCCTCATGGTACAAATAGCTCTTATAGTGCCAGAGAAAATGTAGCCTATGTTTTAGGAATTATAGAGAGCAGTTACAATAAAGAGATTGAAATCATTCAGTGGGCAGAGTTCAAGTTGTTTCTTGAGAAATTGAACTTTCGGCCTTGCAGAAAAACTTTTGGATGACTGTAGAAATTTTTTGCAGACTGACAGGGTGAACACACACCATCTTTCTTAAACGACCAATAGGATCTCAATCTTTATATGCATAAGTAAATGTGACTGGTCTCTTTCTTAAATGTCCATATCTCGGCCTGCCTTAGAACTAAGAACCTGTCGTAGTCAAGACCTTATTCAAAACTCCGCCCCCCCCCCCCCCCCACACACACATATCCTTATCTGACAAATGCGCAAAAGTGCATGGTGTGCATGAGTGTGACCAGGCACTGGCAGCTGAATAACCCATTAGTGGAGGGTGAGCATCAGCAAAAGTCCCCTCTCTTTCTCATCTCATCACATGCCTGCTGCTGAAGACATTTAAGGGCTGTGGAAAGAAAAAAAACAGACAGATATTTTGCCCGCTGCTGCCACTGCTGCCATCGCAGTGCTTAACCCCCTGCTGAGCTGTTCTCTTTCTTCCTCTGTGTTTGCAGGAGAAAGCAGCATGTGCGTGTGACTGAGTAGAGTGCATGGGTTTGTGTGTGTGCGAGTGAGTGTTAGAATTCAATGCATCCAGGCAGGTTTGCGTGATGTCCCTGTCTTTTAAATGGGGATAGAGCTTAGGGATTAACCGTGCACTTCAGGGGTGCAGGAAGGAAGTAAAGAGGAAGAGGGTGAGGGAGGAGGTGATGCCGAAAGGCCTGCCAACACAATGCCAGGCAAGGCTGGTAATCTCTCTGGCTCTCTCTCTCACTCGCTCTCTCCCTGTATTATGTGTGAGTGCGTATGTTTGTGCCAGATTACTTTGGCTTTGGTGATGCCACCAACCTAACCACAGGGACTAACACACACACTGAACAACCACAGCTAACAGGGAATAAAGGGAAAACACACACACACACTCACACACAGGGCAGTGTGCCTGGCAGCGCTGGTATATTTTAACTCACTATGATCGCACCCTGAGGAATATTTATGACAGATCACCTATCAAAGTGACAAATTCTTTCTGAGTTATCTTCTCTCATTTGCCAAAAGCTAAGCCCCAGGAGCCCACATCTCTTACATCTGCATGCTACTGTGTGTGTGTGTGTGTGTGTGTGTGTGTGTGTGTGTGTGTGTGTGTGTGTGTGTGTGTGTGTGTGTGTGTGTGTGTGTGTGTGTGTGTGTGTGTGTATGTGTGTGTGTGGGGTGATACTGTGTAAAAATAGCGATAGTGTGCCATCAGGTATACAAGGCTATAAGATCAAAACAAGTCTCTTAGCAGCTACATCTTTTTTCCAGTTGACTTTTAATTTACAGGCACACAACACATGCAGTTTCACAAACTCACATAAACGCGCCCACAGAATGACAAAAATCTTGTAAGATGAACAAGAATCTGAAACAGTTAGAGTGGATTACATTTTCAACAAGTCAAGGCTTATTACTTTTAAAATCATCTAAAACATGCAAAGAGAATGACTGAACAGGCAGGTAGTCACACATCATATGGCTTTCAATGGTTAAAAAAAAAAGGACCAACATTTGTTAATCGTTAATCACCACTTGGGTTGTGAATTTAGAGAGTTGAGAGAGAGTGTTTATAAAGTTTTTCCTTCTTCACAAAACCTTTGAAGATCTTTATTTCAAAGAAAGGGCTAGGAGCAATCTGTAGCTGTATCTGCAAACAGATAAAAAGCAGCTGATATTTGAGCTTGTGCCTTCAGTGTGGAGTCTTCATAAAAACATCTTTGGTACCTTTAAAAAAAAATACTTTTTATCTCATAAAATGTTATATTTAGCCTTGTCAATCTAATCTTTATACATGACAAAAAAAAAATGCAATGGGTTACCAAACAGAAATGAAATAGCCTACAAAAAAATATTACATTTTCTTTATGCACAAATAGAATAATAGAATTTAATTTTTAGTCATGTACAGGATATGTCCCTACCTGCACCCTGATATTCATTCTTGTATCTCTGGCTAGTAAACAGCTGCAATTTACTAGATCACCAATATACCACTGCCTAAAGATGACTTTATTGTGCCACATTAAGGTAAGACTTGGTATGAATTCCACCATTAAGTAGTTATTGAATTCTTTTGACATATCTCGCTGAACCACAAGAAAAAGCAACATTAAAAGTTTTAGTTTTCACCCAAGAATGGTGAAAAGATGCTTATCTAAATGTTTTCCATGCACACATCTAGACACAAAACATTTGTAACCTTTTACCTGCCTCAGACAAAAATTGGGAGGTGGCACTGAATGTCTGTGAAACACTCAAGCCTAAGTAGTCACCCCACCATTATAGCCTTTTCAGTCAAGGTCGAACGTAACACAAAGAGTAGTAGAAGTTAGGTTTTATTTTGGTAGTGCATGTGTTTTCTTAAACCTCTATAGGCTCACTTGAAAAATCTGCAATCCAATCCTCCCCCCACCATTAACAGCATGACTCAGAAAAGCTTTAGCCTCTTTTTGATCCTCAAATCTTAATTTTACACGGGTCTTAAATTGTTTATTTCTCTTTTGTGTGACGGTGCTGACTTTGTGTTTGCGTGCTCTCATAAGTTCTTAGTATTCTGGCTGTGCTGGTAGCCCTCAGTGAAGCACATGGCTGTGAGGTAATTTCAGCATGTTGGCAGCCGTTGGGATCAGGTCATGTGACATCCAATGGCCCAAAATGTATTTTTGCTGTTACACAATCATTACTAAAGAAATGGTGGATTTTGTGTTGTATGATATTCTTCATGGAGGAGTGGATGCATAGAACCAGAAAAAGGAAAGAGACACTACATCGCTGGCTTTCACACTTACTCTTGTCACCTTTCAGGCCTCAGATTACGTTACAATGAAAACAAATGTCCCAAGTTGTTGCGGGAAATGAGTGACTGAGGGACTGGACAGACAGAAGCACCTGGAGACGCCGTGCAACATTTTAAGGGTCGTGTGACATCTCCCCTGTCATCCTGCTTTCTTTAAGGAAGGGATTATATTCGCCCTCAAACCCGCACAAAATCCCTCCCCCTCCACCCATCACGTTTTTCCCTTTCACAGACATTTGCTCAAATGGTTGCGTGTGCTTCTCCTCTCCTATCTCCTTCATGTGCTGTGATTTATGTTCCCCCTTCGGCTCAAAGGCATGGGGTGGGGGAGAATGTGATATGGTAGAGGTGGTGGGTGGAGGTGAGGGCTTGAGGTCCCTCTGAGAGATGAAGGAAGGAAAAGGAGTTAAATATTTGTCTTTTCAAAGGATGCCAAACATGTGTTTACACTTTCTGCCCACTTTCACCATAAATAGTTTCCTCAGCCTCAGGGTTGCGCACTTACATGTGAAAATACGTGAAAACATATGACGGTATGTTTGTGTGTTTGTGTGTGTGTGTGTGTGTGTGTGTGCGTGTGTGTGTCTCTGTGTGTGTGTTTGTGTGTGTGTGTGTGCGAGAGAGAAATATACCAATTAATTTACAGAGAGAGGGAGAGACCTTTGAGACCAACAATGCCAACTGTATTTTTTATGCTTAAGACATTGCCTTTTTTCTATGTATTAATTCATCTAATTTGGGCCTTGATGCCAAAGACTTCTTCTTTCTTTTATACCTGAAGTGAATCTCCCCTATGGTAGATTTTGTTTTGACAAAAATAAAAAATAAAACGTCTGTGTTCTTTCTATGTGTATTTTCTCTTTCCTGTGTGTATATGTTTTCCAGCTAATGATGGCAAAGACAATGGTGGTTGAGTCAGGCTGTAGGCGTGGAGGTGTAGCTGCAGTCAGATAGACATTATTTATCAGGTCAGCCAGACCCGGGCTTTGAGATTCACAACTATTCGGACTGCGATGACACAGGCTCAGCTTCCCCTGGCAGAGTTATGGTGACCCTTCAGGCAGAGCTTGGTCCCAAAACAAACCCTCATGTGGTTCCTTCCCTCCATCCAATAAAGCCCACATCTCACTGTGTACTCCGAGAAAAACAAAGAGATAAGATTGTGCTGCTTTATTTTAGTGTGTGGACAAAGACTGTATCATGACCTGCTGCTTATCTACTGCAAGGCTTTCCGTCTTAAATGAATCATGTGGGAATTGATATCATAAAACAAATCTAATAAAGCATTGTGCGTGCGTGTGTGTGTGTG